TTTCTTTTCTTGCTCACACTATTAATCCCCATATTTTCACCATGTTCCGGTCCCTTAGTGTGCTCTCTACTTTCTATTGACACTGACTTCCCTAAAAGTATTCCATCTTGCTTAACCCAATTTTCATTTTTTGTCGAAAAAATCTTCGCTACTCCTACATTTAAATTGCTATTATCATCACCAATAAAACTTTGAGACATTTATTGGAGTTCCTCATCATTTGACATTAAATGATAACAGTCAATAGCTAAAGGCATGATGGCTAATGGGTTATATGATTAATCTGACTTCAAAGGATGCTTCGCATTTTCCAAACTCTCCAAACTCATCCTATCACAATCCCTATTAATGCTGTCTAATTTAAGGCACATTAATGGTAATTTTTCACCCTTATGAGAACTGTCAGAATGCCTACCTTTCCTATTAGCTTTATTATAATTCCTCAATATAGAAGTAATAAACACATTCTTATCACATTCTGTAGCCTTAACTCCACCATTAATCGAACTCTTAGACTTGTTTGAACCTCTAGTTAACCCAATACAAGTACTTAAATCTCTAGCTATAGGATAATGCAATTTATTTGGATATGGTTGGTTATAATCAGTACCTTTTATATGCATTTTCACATAGCTCTTATCATAATCATTTGGGCAACTTAAATTTCGCAAAATGCCTTTGTCTGAGATATAAAGGTTGTATGAATCCTTCCCGATACCATCAACATAATTTAAATCCTTGGCTAGTTTTGAAAATATATGCTTAATGAAAAGAGAGTTTCATTTGCGCAATACCTTTTCCATATTTGAATTTTGAAAGAGTTCCACAGCCTTATAATTTTCCTTAGCAAAATCTTCATTCAAATTTGAATTTGTTATAGAATAATGAAATTTATCTGGGTATGGTTAGTAGCAATCCAAATTTAAATTTTGAAAAAGTTCTAAATTTGGATAATGTAATTTATAAGGACATGGTTGGCTGCAATTCGAATTTGAATTTTGAAAGAGTTTCACAACCTTAGAATTCTCCTTAGCAGAGTCTTTATTCAAATTTGAAATTGCCACATGGGATGTACCCGTAGAAAAACACTCTTTACTTCTAATAATGTCATTCTCTTTCCTTTGATCAGAAAGGGCGTCGGAAGCCAAATCCAAGTTATTAGTTGGCTACGATCTGACCAATAATCGAGATACTAGTTCTCAAAGCAAATTTCTCTTTACCTACTTGAATTTGTTTATAAGATGGAATCTGATAGAGACTTTGTACTTTCACCAAGATAAAACCATGACTGAAGTAATTCAGATTTAAAGTCTCTTGATCCCTTTTCACAAATTGCCCTCAACAATTTCCAAGAGCCTTAAGGAAAGTAACATGCCACCAATGAATTAGAATTTCCTCTACTTTCACCCAACACAAGAATTATGATTTACTTATGCATGTCTCATAAAGGACTAAACTTGTAAACCACTCCTAAAAACAATACATGTAGTTAGTGATAACTCTATGATATAGAGTTATTTAGGCTTAATTTTGATAGTAATTTAGCATAGTTCTTGTAGTAATGCATAAAAATTAGTAAGTTTTATTTAAATTATTTTAGGTTAGTTATTTAGGTGAGTCAGTATAATTTTAGTTAATTTTATGCTTAATTTGGTGTTAATGTGATTAAGATAGGTTACTGCTAATTTATTTATGCTTTTGTTGGTGTTTAATGAAAAAAGAATTTTAAGGAAAGAAAGAGAGCAATTTTGAGGTGTAGACTTTTACTGCATATATTTTGGTATTTTGACCATAACTCTTTCTACAGAACTCTAAGATGATTCTTAATCAATTGGAAAGTTAAGAGAAAAATCGACAACTTTCATGTTTACAACTTTGCCCAATTCATCCTAAAAGGTGGTCAGAAATTTTATCGAAATTGACACACTATAGTAATCTTAGAGCAATTACAATTTTCGTTAATTGATTGGTCAAGGTCATGGCCCACATAGTCTAATGAGGAAATCCTGATTGGAATCGACTTCTTTCTTCACCCAACTTGGCCTCACTTCAAAGTTTTATAAAAATAACCTTTTGGAGGATTTTGAGGAGAGAACGAGACACTAGACTAACCACTAAGACTCAAGCTAAAAAATCATTGAAAAAAAAGTCTCATTGGAGCTAAAAAGAAATTGAAGGATTCAAGAAGATTTGGGGATGAAGAGTTTCATTCTTGGAGATTCTTTATTCTTTATTTTGATTTAGTTTTAATATTTAAATTTTATTTGATGATGATGTGTGACTTGATAGGGAAATAATTATTTAATTATTTATCTAAGATTATAATTGAACTCGGTACATAGTTTACTTTATTTATCTCTCTTTTTTTTGTGTTTGATAGATTTAAGTTGTTTATTTTATTTTACTCTTAATGTTTCTAGTTGCTCAGCCATCAATTAGATTGAATTGGAAACCTAAGTTAAACCTTGACAAAGAAGACTTAGGTAGATCTATAATAGAATAATGTATGATCAAATGCACTAGTTGATTTAGTGATTTGATTAGAATATAGGGTAGATATACACCTATAAGTCATACGTAGCTAGGACTAGAACACGAACTTAATGAAATTTAATGAATCTTTCTTCAATTTAATTTGCATAGACATATAGTAAATTAATTGGAAAAAATATTTTTATGAGAAACTCGTCAGAAACTCGTAAATAATTTAGGACTATATGTTAATAGCTTAATCCATTAAATTAAGTTAAGAGAGAGATAGTAATCAGATGAAGTATTGAAAGACATCATAAACTTAGGTTTGGTAATCACTTGAATTTAATAAAGTAAATTTACTAATATATTTTAGATTAGTTTTATTTTTAGTTTATTCATTTATTAGTTTTAATTATAATTTGAATTGTTTGGATAAAATTTAGATGTATCAATTTTAGTACTTAATAATAAAAATTAAAACAATTTTTTATGGGAACGATATTCTACTCTTTATTATATTATCTTTTGATACATATAATTATGTGAGTAAAAAATTGAACAACAATTAACTAGAAGAACTTTCATTTCCTCCCTACTATCGGATGTAACAACCATATGCAGACACATGCTTTCTTTAATTCGAACCATTATACCTTTCGTGGTCAATTGTTGTTCCATAACTAGAAATACAGTACCCCTCTTTTAAGAATCCCAATGCAATTTTCTTCAACCATTCCTTGTTCACCTTATGTATGAACACATTGGTACTTTCCTTATCCTTTTTCTCAGCCTTTATTTGCTACACCCTTTTGATCTCACCCTCATGTTTATGAGCATTAATTAATGCCTCTTTGAATGTACAGGGGACAAGAATGGATTGCTTTACATGGTCAATTGGTGAATCATGCCTCAGTTTTCCCACCTCAAAAGCTTTTTTGATCATGATTTTTCTTTTAGAAAACACCATTTCATCCCCTAACGGATTGCCTTACTTGCTTCTTCTCAAACCGAAATCTCACAAAGGCATAATTCAAATATCTCTTTATAATATTTTGAGAAAATAAACACATCCACAACTATGCTAAATTAATCAAACACTACCTTAATACTAGCTCATGACATGCCTACCATTAGATTATCAACATAAACTATGAAGAGTGATCTCTTCCATTGTGCCAACTCAGATTTCATACGATACCTAGTACCTTGAAACCCTTGCTTGCTAAAACACGCATGGTTGCTCCATCTCCTTCAAGCCTACTTGCACAAAAAAAAAAAACCTCTGAACTCTCTCTTTTA